TACTTCTCAATACTAGAAGTTCAAACAGTTTGGATATTTGGCTCAAAATAGAGACAGGTCTATAATTTTTGACATCAGCTTTATCACCAGATTTAAAAATAGGAGTGACAGAGCTAATCTTGAAAGAAGAGGGAAAAACTCCGCTATCGATTGAACGCTTAAAAAGTAGCTACAGTGGAAAACATAATGAAGATTTCACATTGTATAAGAATATACCTGACAAGCCGTCGGGGCCTACGGACTTAACATTTTTTAGTGCGTCAACATCATCGATGTCGAATGAACAAGTGCTAGGTAGGTCATGGAACAAAAAAGGAGACGAATGGTCATTAGACAAAGGAGGAACATAGACTGTATTGAAGTAATGGGAAAATAAGTTAGAGACAGATTCTGTACCCGAGCTTTGTAAATTCTCAAAATGTACTGAGTGGGGAATTTCGTTGCTAGATTTATTAACACGGACAAAGTCCCAAAACGACCTGGGGTTAGATTTTAGCATTGACTCAGTGCGAGACAGGTAGGCAGTATGACATCTCTTGTATTCTGCCTTGTAACTTGTAAGAGGCACGAAGTGCGGAAAATTCCGCATAATCAAGGGGACAGCGTGAAGCTTTAAACTTATTACTTTCAATAATTTTAAAATCCATTACAAAAATTTAAAATATTAATGTTTTTTCACATTTATAGACGGTAGGTACACTATAGACGACTCGAGACTAATAACGAGTGGCAGCTAAAGACATGATAATTGTATAGTACTTATCTTATAATTTTATCTTTTCACTATTTCCTCTAAAAATAGTGTGCGGTTTAAACCCCCTCTAAATGTGCGATAATTTGTTATACAATGACCGATAAGGTGTGCGGTTTTTGTCTATCGACCTTTTTAGGGTCAAAAATCAAAATTAAAATTGTGCGATTTGTTGTATGCAACTCGTACAGGTATGTAGGTATTCAAAAATTTAAGAATTGAAGACATATTTAGTCCTTATAATTAATATTCAAAAACCAACTATGTATTTAAAGTTGGTTTATTGTTGTTAAGAACATTTGCAGTCACTGCAGATGCACAAAATATGTACAATATAACCATCGTCCTATGTTATAGAAAGTGCTAAGACCTAATGTTACAAACTACCTAGTTTTAAATTTTAAAGTACCAGTGGATAAATCCTGAGAACCCCTCAACTCTTGTGATTATGAATACAAATATTAATATATACGTATGCCCTATACAAATAAATAAATAATCAGGACATATTATATACTTAGGTAGTATAATTCATAACGATGCCGATTTAACTCATCAGATCATAATCTACAACTAAATTCTCGATCCTCTTGTGTCAGTTTCTTATTACCTAATTCCTTTATTAACAGATACTAATTTTTTAATTTAAATGAGCAACATGTTCAACGAGTACCTACATATCATTATAATTATTAATTTATATGAATTCCCTTAAATATATCATATTCCCTAAACGCAAAATAGATTTTCGTTATTTTTATTTATAACATGATATCATTCTCAATCCTTGTTTGGAACACCCAGAAACATCCTGTATATACATGGTTATTAATGGACAATGAATACAACAATAATTATGGGTTATAGTTCATATAGTGTTATGTATCTATTTGTTGTAATCAAATTTTGTGATTAAAAAAAACTTTATTTTTTGATATTCGAAGCATTTACCTAGTTATTTACCTAATTGAGTTTATATAATAGGAAAGTAGATGTAGAGAAATACAGTAGACTATAAAAAAAAATAGGCAGTATATATTATAATAATAAACTCAAATATTATTTTGAAAGAATTTTCATGTGTATATTTATAATTTGCTTTCATCGCCCAACTAAAATTCTAATTGATGATCAATATATTTATATATATACTCGCTACTTGTGTTTAGTGTTTACCTAAACGGCTAAACATTTAAAATACATTGGTACGTACCTATATAAAATACAAATTATGTAGTAATTACTTATAAGGATTTGATTATAATTTATAATATTGCGCTGATTTATATATTATCAATTGTGTTTCAATGTTCAGGTATGATGTATTACATAATACATTTTAAATATCAGACAAATGTCTGTATTTGATTGATTAATTAGGAAAATGGCCTTGCAACAATAATATAACAATAATAAAAAAAATGTTATCTTTGAATTCTTATTCACGTATGTAACATTGTAACAAAACGTGTTAGGTGTAATTAAAAATAAAAGTATAACGAAGGGATTTGATTACAAGTTATAATAATAATTACTATTTGTTAGTTTGACATTCTTGGATACATAGACACACATTAATATATAATATATATGTCTTGAGGCTCATATTTTTTGTTTTTATTCTCCTTATAGCTAGGTGACTAGGCACCTATTGATAATTTATATGCACCACATAGATATAAATAGAATATTATGAACAAATAATGTAGGTGTAAACTTGGTTCAGAAATACCAGGTAGTAAAAATGTCGATTGAAACTCAGGAACTTATAATTTTGGCAACTTGTGAATTGCGTCCCATGAAGGGAGAAAATTGAAAATTGTAAATTGCACTCAATTAAATTGAAATATAATCACCTAAATATAAAATTAATATTTTGAAATAAAAAACAAATTGTAGATCTATAGGAACTACTACTACATTAAGAATTTTCATAATTTATTTAATAAAATGAAAAAAAGAATAATATACTTTTTGAAGAAGCGCGATTCTCATTCCGTAGTGTATTCTCTTATCATTGTGTCCTCTAGATAATGTTAAAAGATTCTTGAAATTAAAAATATGCTTTATTATATAACTTAAAAATTCAAGACCCTGTTTACTGCCTACATATGCCTATTGAAAAAAACTACTCTATAATAGATACCTATATAATTTTAGCATTCCTTATACTTAATCCCTATAGAATATAGTTATACTTATAGTGTACGTGCACACACACACACATATATTTTTTTATATAATATATAAGTATAAAGGTAGGTATATCAAAAGTACCAAGATAAGATTGAAAACTGAATCATCTTTTTAATATATTATATAATTAAACACATTTTTATTTTTAGACAATTTAATTAGGTAAATAAAATATATTAAATTTAAAAAATTTAAAACTAAATAAAATTCGTTCATTTTTCATTTTATTATTTAATACAAACGGTAAAATATTTAAGTGTTTTATAATATAGTAAGTACATACTAGCAGTTAATTTTTGGAAATTATATTTATTAAAAATCAACAGCCATTGACCTAAAAAAAGAAGGTAAACAGTGAAATATTTTAAAACTTTAAATCTTATTAAAACTGTTTAATCAATCCACGAATTGACAAGTCTATTCAATTAAAATTTTAAATTGTAGATTGACCGCAAACAACTAAACTATGCAAATACGAACACACATTATTTTCCTAACCCATTCTAAATTCCAATAATAATAATTATATTATATGAATATTAGATCTCAGAGGCGTGCATAGGCTTTGTTTGTTGGAGGTGCATTCCTATTTTATAATTTACCTCTCCCTTGTCACCTATCCAACCCAAAATGTTATATATAAATAAAACATGAATGCCGGTGGTACACGTACCACTTATGTACCTACTCTGTACTACTCATGAGCACAGATGATATTATACTCAATTTACCATTAGATATGTATTTAATATAATTCCATATATATTTTGATATTTCCATCATTTTCACATTCTTTTTTATCTTATGAGTAAAGACGGGATTTTGCATACAATGCATGATGCTATTTTATAAACATCATATACAATATACATGCAGTCAACGAGTGTTCATAAATTATTACTTGATTCACTTGATTCATTAAATATCATAATAATTCATAATATTTTATACAGCATATTTTTGCATATCCTGACGTTAGTGTATGTTCTTTATTTAAAAAAAAAACACTGCAAATATACACCTAATGATCCAAAAAGGTGTTGAGCAAACAAAAGAAACAAATTATAGGTACGTTTATATGATATAAAATATTTTGCGTCTCAAAAGATATTCGGACTCTAAAAATAGGTTACTAAACTTTAATAGGTTGGTTGTACGAGTTGCATAGTGGATAAGTGCAGATTCGCCATCTAAATCGTATCTTCTTAACACCAAAAGTTCTCTAAAAACCATAACAATTCTACTCGGGCACGGATCCAGAGCAAAGATCTGGGGGGGGGGGGGGGGACCAACAATTTTTTGTTAATGTAAAATTATCATATTGGAATCACTGTCCACCATAAACTAGGCTAGTAGGTATTATCTTAGTTTGTGCACCCCATAATGATACGTATAATAATGTGTTATATTATCAGACATACATATATAAGAATTATTAAAAAAAAATTGGGAAATAACATCTCTGGGGGGGGGGGCAGCCCCCCTGATTCAACTATAGCACAATTCGTAAACAATTTTCTTAAACTATTGTGGCCCGAAGGTAACAATTATTATGATAAAGTGTTGTTGATGGTATCTGATGCTGCCCCCTTATACGACAAAAGCTTCACAAAATTAATATTTTACAATTTAAAATGCATACAAATCCGGCCTTTACTTATGCACCATGACATTTTATAATACTTAAGTATGCGATCATTAAAACTACCTTATGAATTGGCTATAAATTCGTTTGATGAAATATTGATCAGTAGTAATAGAAATACTATATATATTACTATAAAATACATTGTAATCCGGCTGTACCAGCAATATAATTTAATATAAAATTCGTCTATACCTAGCTATTGGCTATAGATATACATTATAATAATATGTGTATTAGCATATCGATATCGTGTTAGTTATAAATTCGGTCTCGTTTTATCTCAAATAAATAAATGTGTTAAATGAGTATACCTATAGGGCTGTTTAGTATAATTAATACTAATAATACTTAGAATATCTACCTACCTATAGTTTAAGATTTATAAAATATAAATTAAATATTTACCTTTGAAAATAATTGTTATTAGGTACCATATTCGAGATGAAAATCACAACCGTTTTATTTAATATTTACATAAAATAAATAATAACTAGATATCTTTCATAAACACTCACGTCGAGCGTCAAACTAGTACCAGTTACTACAGACTACTGCAGACTACAGAGTGGCGAGTGTCTGAGAGTATTACACTGGTCACTGTTACTGCGTATTATAGTAGATATCACATGGCGGTGGCATCTAAACAGACAACAGTCATAAGCATAACTCATATACGCGTTGGTTTCGTATAAATTATAAGCAAACAAGTGGGGAATAGTCGAGAGTAAAAGTGCAAAACTGTAGATAACTGATAAAATATTAATTGGGTAATATTGTAATGGTGTAATGTATTATTTATATTATAGGTATATACCTATGTAGGTAATATTTAAATTATAGATATGTTATTGTGTTTAAAGAAACGGCTAGGAAGGTGCTTAGTTAGATTATAGATTATAAATATTATAGATCACGTGTAACTTAGCTATAAAAAAATATGAGAAATAACTGTATTTCTCACGAACTGCACAAATTATTTCCTGTAATCTTATAATATTATTGTACAGAACTATAATATTTATTATTATAACAATCAGTTATACGTTTATTAGGTACATAGATTTTGCACTTCATGCTTTTCGCAATTTTAGATTCTCAGCGAGCGAAACGACGTATTGATTTTACAACGATTTGGGTTTTTTTTCAGTTTGTCGTCGCTTGTCACCTATTATGGGGAAATTAAAATGCTCCAATTTTCTACTAAAGCATCTTTTCTGGTAAGAAAGTGCATCTAATTACTACTTTGGGCTTAAAAGTAAAAAATTCACATGCTTTAGGAAAAACTAAAAAAAGGTTATGGAATATAATGTTATGCAAAACCATTTTCGATAAAATCAATTTGTTTTTTTGGTATACCCAACTCGAAAACTAATAACCGTAAATACTTTTACCTTAACTAAAATGTTAATACGATCATTTTCCATGCACACAAATTATTAAAATTACTTAACTCTTTTAAGTTATTTTAGCCATGAGAAATTTTCGATTTTCTTTTCAACTTTTATAACTAAGAAACAAAAAATATAAAAATATATTTACACAATTTTTTATTTTTTATAGATATTCTATGTTAAAATTTGGACCAAATTAAATATTTACACAAGAAATTACGATTTTATTTATTTCGTTGTCATTTAAAATATTACTCTTGAGTTCTTGACCCGTGGGTACTTATACAACTTTTAAAGTATATTATTATATTTTAATATTTTATTCACGCAATGACATTTTCAAATGTATTGTTTTCAGCAAAAGTTTTTAACCTACTGGCTACTTTAACTTTACCTATATGGCTATATTATACTATTTATGAATATAGTGAAATACTTTACTTAAATAGCAATATCATAAAATATACCTACTTAGTAATATATGCTGACCTACCGCCTTCGCTCAGAATTGTTTTTCGTGTGCAATGATTTATTCTTATATATTTATATTCAAACGGTGTCGGCACCGATGCGGTCAGAACATTTGCGATCGGCACCTTTATCGTGCCATTTGCGGTCAATTTATTTTTATTTATCTGTCTATAAAATTTGGATGCTATATATTATATTTATAAATATATTGTATACTTAATTTGTGCTAATAGGTATATATTTATTATTTTATTATATTTAAACTTCCCTTCACACATTTCAAGGCTAAGGACTGATAGTATTTTTTACTGGCGTGTTTAAAAGCTTATTATTATTATTGTTATAAGTAACTCATATAATAATAATATCATTTTCAATAACATTACGTAATAAGGTACTCATTTTTTTTAAACCTTATTACAATTATTATAAAAAATTCACATAATAATAGGTACATTTGTCGATCACATTATCTACATATAAACATATGATACTAATACTAACATACATTACTAATTAACATATATGTACATAAACATAACCTTATTCTAATTTTTGAATAATAGCTATTTTTTACGCATTTGACTTAATCAATGATCTATTTCATACTCTATTAATGTTTTTTAATTCTTTCGTCCAATTGTATTACATATTTTTTCGCCTTTTACCTTCCATATTTAAGTAGCTTCTTGCAAATAAAAGTTCCAAATTATCAGCCTCTTTTTAAGACAGCCATACAAATTCTTAAATGTTGGTCGTGGTATATTTAATATTTTATTAAGTTAACTATTCCAACCCTAGAGGCTAGAGGATTAGGTACCTTTAGTTGTATGTATAAATAATAAAAATAAACTTTTTAAACACATTTTCATAATGTAATATGTATTTACAATATAATATTTTATACAGCACCTTAAATTGTATAGTCAGGTGAATAGAAATAAATTGACAGCAAATGGAACGAAAAAAAAGCCGACCGCAAATGTCCTGACCTCAAAATATGTCCCGGAACCATTCAAACACAACCATTAATCATTAGGTACCTACAGTGCTTAATTTGGAAAACAATAAAAAAGGAAATGCAATAGTGTAAACAAATATTTGCGTTAACTACGGCATACCTGAATATTTAAATGTCATATTGATTAGGATATAATTATTAGAAGGAGTAGATATATCTACTAGTATACCTAGTACCTAGTACCTACCTACGCATAAATATTTTCTAAAAATAATAGGGACTCAGCTGCCCATGTTAAAATGTTTTTTTCGTTAAAACTAAGAATATTCAATGTACCTACCGATTCCATGTCTACATACGGGTCTAACCTCCCAGATGAGTTTGCAACCGGATCAGGGGCGGATCCACAATTGGGAAACTGTGGGTCAGGCCATTACAAGAGGCCACTTATTAAGGTTAACACTTGATTAGAAATCTATACGTATAAACAATAAAAAAAAAAAATGCTTTGTACAGTAAGTGTATTTTCTTCAGTATATAAGTTGGCAGATCGATCTAAAATATAAACAAATCAATTTATTAAAATGTAATACCTATAAATAAAAGGTTCTGGTAAAAAAAACATACCTAGTTATTAGTTATGCTATTTAATTGTTTAAATTATTAGTTTATAATCACATATATATATCTAATAATAATAAATAATCAATGGTTAACTTAAATTACTGAATTAATTGGATTTCCAAAAACTCACCTTGGTCCTCATGACCTCATAGTGTTTAACACAATATTTTTTGTAGACTTGTACATAATGTAGTCCTGGTTTCAAGAAATCTTTTAAACGTATTGTATCCTTATTAAAACAATATCTAAACTGTTACTAGTTACCAAATATTGACCATATAATTTTTAATTTGGCTACTTATTTCAATACCATTTAGTTAGGTAGGTAGTTTTATTTTAAATTAAGTATTTTTCATGGTAGCAAAAGTACCCCTTGGCCCTTAGTGACGCCTATGTATATTTGTATACACTATAGTACAATACAGTAACACAAAAATGAATTTTTTTTTTTAAATCTCAAAAGATCTTTGGCCTGAACTTAAAATTCATGGCAAGCCCAGGCATATCCAGAACTAGTGTAATGTGGAAACTAGAAAGTACCAACCAAGAAAAAGAAAATACAGTGTACTCTCGATTATCCGCCGAATAGGGTGGCAGGACATCCAAGGATAAACGAATTTCGCGGATAATCCGCAAAACATTCAAGGGTCTAATATTAAAGGAACATAACATAATATATACAATATACAATGTATACAATTACATTTATCAAAAACAGCTGATAATCGTGGAGATATTATTTCTTTTCTAGCTCTTTTTGTTTTTGTTGGCCCAGACTCAGGTAAAATTTTATCTTGGATGCCCGATGTACTAGGAATAAAACGATTTGGTGATTCTAGAATATTGATACTACAACAAGAGTTCGAATAATCGGACAAAGATGAATCAGTTTCGGAATAGTATACTAAAAAATAAAAAAAATAATAATTTGTTAAATTAATTGATTAACTTGTTAATATAAATAAATAAAATGCATAGAAATCAGTTATGTTGGTATTCAAATAAAAAGTATATTAATATTTACGGCTTAAATACTTGACTATAAAAAAATCAAAATATTTTATTAATTATATAACACATACCTGGTTCAAGGATTGACTGTTGTTTCTCTCTAAGTAATTTCAACTTTTCTTCTTTGGCTATCTTATTTTTTTCAATTTTTGTTTGTTTCGTATCAACTCCAAGCATACACCCTTGGCGTCCTTTTATTCGCTGTGCAATTAAAAATTGTTTGTCTTCATCAATTTTTATCTTAGATAGAGCGTCAGCATGTGCTATGTCAAACAAATCTTTTAAGCCATCTTCAAATTCTTTTCGTTTGTTTTTATTTAATTCACTTGTACGAGCTTTATGCTTTTCCAGGATTCGTAAATCAGTGTACAATTTTTTGCATTTAGCAATATAATTCGAACGATGATGTGTTGGTATGCGAGCTTTTTTCCAATAAATAAGACACTCGTCAATAACTAATGACGCACTTTCTTGTAAACTAAGATTAACAACACGCATATTATAAAAAAGTACGCTTAAAATATCTCTTTTTGAGGGTAACTTTCCGCCAGTTATTTGATTTTTCATAATCCCAACCAAAAACACTTGTTTTCGCGACATTTTAAAGTAATATTTCAAATAAGAATAAACGATTAATAGTCACTGATTACCAAATGACAACTGCGATAATATTACTGAGATAACTAATAGCCACAATATTTTTAGTCTAAAAATTACTGCGATACAGTGCGATAATACTATTGTGAATGTATTTTTCTAGAGATAATTTCTATTCTATTTTTAACCCAGACGTAAACAATTTAATGACCAATATGCAACCAATTATATTATGCATCCATTACGACAATTACAAATAAATAATATCATTAATTCGTTAATTTAACATAAGACTTTTTATTCGTATATTTAATCAATCTATGGAGATATTGTATAATCGATATGTTGCAGAAATTGTACACATTATTTTCATTATTGATTTTCATGTAAATAAATAGATTTAAGCGTATTACTAATTATAACATTTTTTTTTAGGAAATAAGATTATTTATAATAAACGCTCTATACATTTTTATCGTAAGTAGAATAGTTTATGAGATAATTAGGAAAAACTGAAAAACTACCCTAAATTCAAATAATCAACCCTCTTGGGGCACGTCTTAGGTTCAATCAATCTTGACCAAATTTTACTCACATTATT